AATCTATGTCCTGAGTAGTTCACGTGATAAACAGTACCTATTATTTGATAATCCACCCTAAGTCGAAAAATTTAAAACCAGGATTAAAAAAAAACCCTTCCAGCATCATAAACTTTCAGTCCGGTTTGGTTCGATATTTTGGAATGAAAAAAAAATAAAAAATGTAAAAAAATAATAAAATTTCTCATTTTCTCATAAAATTCCAATAACGTTTTGTTCCCATTTTCCCGCAATTTCGAAATTCTTATTTTTCGAAGCTGCTAATAGCAGAATGCCTCCACAAAGTATTTACTAATTTCTGCAATGCCTTCTTAGTGTCTGTCTGTCTGCAACTACCTCAACTAATCCATCTGCAATGAGCTTTTGTTCTTTGCAAATCGTTTTGTATTGTACATTTCAATTTTATAGAATTACAACACTTGGTTATATTGTCTAATTCCCAACATGCAACATGTATGTTTGTAATTAATGGTAATGGCTCTCTTTTGTGCTTCATCATCGAACATAACCCCCACAGTCATTCAACGACGGAGCCACTCTGCCCGTCTGACTAGCTAGCTGACTGACGACTATTGGTGTGCTGGGCTAACGTTAATCACCCATTTTGGCAATTCTTTTAGTCTGAACTTCGGACAATGCGATGTTGCTGTTGGTTTGTGCAACAGCAGCTGGTGTTGTTGATTGCCTTGTTGTACAACAAAAACAACAGCTGTAACCACATTTGCCATAAACACCAAGAATAAATAATTGCAGTGTAGCAACGTAAGGGCAGCACCTTGTTGCATGTCTTCTGGGCCAGTGGCCTACCACATAGTGAAGAAACTGCAATAACAGCACAAAAAGGGTTCCTAGACAGATTTATTTGTGGTTCTCTGGCATTTATTAAAGACATTGGTGTTCTCATTATTTTAGATGTGTTCCTTTTTTCTATTTTTTTCGGATTGGGGTTTCCCACCAAACACTGTTGGAAGTTTTTTGAAAATGTAAAAATATATCAATTTTGAAGTATGTAATACAGATGACTGGAATTAAAAAATATATTTTATTTTTTCTTTCACATAAAAGGGACGTTATTAGCAACACACGTTTTACAGAAACTGAGTTTTCTGTGTATAATTTGTGTACATTAAAGCTGTGTTCCCAAACCTGCAATATAGTACTATATTGTACTAGTTTTGCAATTTTTGCTAGAAAGGCGTTCCCTTACGCCGAAAAGTAGGACAATTTGAAATTAAATTTAAGAGAGTTAAAACCAAAATGGCGTTCTCTTCTCCTATTTTCTGCAAGACCAATTTGGCCAAGCACGAAATAGTAAATGTAGTAAATTATGAATTTGACATTTGATTGCCAGAGATATACAGTCCGAAATAAAGCACATGCAAGTTAGCGCTTCAACAAAAGGGACACACGCACAGACGCACACACATTTGCTTAAAAAAAAAAAAAACAAATAAGAAATTAAAAAATTGACAAACAGATTGTTTATTCTCTTTTGGAGGATAGCGAAGATGAATGGCTGGCAGAAGATTCAGATGAAGATACTATAGAAAGAAGACCTGGGTTGAGAACGTGCATCATCATGTTCTATTGGTTAATCGTACTAACCAATGTGTGTACAGTGGCCCAAAATATCTTGGGCTTATGTCAAGTTTAGGGGATCCTCTTGGATCGCTTTGACATTTTTACAGTAAGTAGCCCTCGGTGAACTGATTACAGTGATATATATTTTAGAAATGCATACTTCCCGAGATATGGGCCTTGAAAGTTCGGAGAGTATGTTGTTTTAATCAGCCGTTTGACTATTTCCAGCAAGGTAATATGAGTATCATTTAAAGGTTATGATTTGTGCTTTAAAACTAGACGAAGAATATATCATCATAATGTATATACAATTTAAAAAAAGAATTTGGATTGCGTAGCCATGTATGCGCTTGTCCATATGTGAAAAGGTTGTTTTAAACAAAATATGCTCCGAAATTTCAAGGCCAATGTCTCGGGAAGTATGTATTTCCCCACATGAAATGTATATCACTGTAGTCAGCACAAGGAGGGCTACTTACGGTAATCATTTCAAAATGATCCAAGTGGAGCACCTAAAGATTAACATTATGGGAGCGTCCAGCCATGTAAGGCTTTCCGGACTTGGAGTCGTCGGAAACTCCACTTCCAAATATTCGATAATGATTTCATCTAAATTATACAAATAAAAAATAAACAATAAATATTAATATTATCAAAATCACACAATGGAGGCCTTTTAACTTTTTGTTTATTTGTGTGCATTAGGTTTCTGTAGTTTTTTTTTTTTTTTTTTGTCCTTAATTGATGAAATTTTTGATTTTGACGTTTCTTCGTGTTTTAACTATTTTTCGTTCCTTTACTTTTTGTGCAAATTTTGTATGTGAGAGTAATTTTTGATAGTTTGCTCTTTTACTAGCTTCACTATCAAAAAGTACGGGAACGAACCTTAATTGTCCTTGAATTTATAGTTGGCTTTCGAAAATGTACAATAAATTGGAAATGGCAACTCTATTATTACTCTACAAAATGTTGAATACAATACAAAGATATAATTTGCCGCCAACAATGTGTCGAAAGATCTCTGTGACACCTGCAAAAAGATTTGGTCGATATTATCCTTGACCATTGACTTTCTAAAGTCGCTTTCTATGCATTGGTCAAATCTCCTTGTAAATCCTAGTCTTGTATCAATGTGTTGTGGGTCAGCCTGGGTTAATTTATTACAAAAGTGAGTCCATCTTGTCGCTCGGTTGGTCAGTCGTCCGGCTTGCCTTTGTCTAACACGTGTATATCTGTGAAAATCTTCTATTGTGTAAATTGTAAAATGATTGGTTATTAAATGAGAACATCTGGACATTTATCAAATTGTATGGTTTGTGGTGTGTCTGTGTGTGTGTGTGTGATGAGTATGTGCGTGAATGTGGGTGTTTATGGAGCATTAAAAGTGATTTTATGTTTTCAATTCAATTACAGGAAATTCCAATGAAATATTTTGTGGCTTTTCAAAGACACTGACCAATGGCTTTGATTTCTCATGCATTGCTGGCAACGGACAACAGGTAAAAGGCTTTAATAATACATCTGCCATACAAATATAATTAAGAGTAAATAAAAGAGTTTATTAAAAATTTATAATGGGCATTTTACTATTTCATATTTAAAATTAAGACATTGTAGAAATTAATGAATTTGCACTGATGATGAAAATAATGAATTTATTAAATCGAATTGAGTTTTTGAAAATTACAGAGAAATTTAATTTAAATGAATATTTCAAAAATATTGTTGTACATATTAAATTAAATGTATATAAACCGTATGATGCGAATGTAGAGAAATAAATTGAATGTAACAAGTTGTGCATTTTATGTTTTTTTCTCAATACCATAATCATTGGATATTATATCCTTTTAATTTAATATAAATTGCAATATATTCATATTGTATGTAATTATATTTAACCCTTCTTTGAAAAATGATGGAAATATCCATCATACCAATGAATGCCTAACAAAATATTAAAAAAATGCTAACTTTTAATCTGTCGAGCCTCCATAAGTCATTTAATGTGCATTGCATAAATAAACACTTAGGTGTAAAAAATAAAATACGTAACTAACGGTTAATCGAGTTTAAGTTCCATAGTTGGATGTCTCAGAGCTCACATCGATTAACACATTAAAACAACAAGTTGAGAAAAGCGATGATGAAGTGTATGCTGTTTTTAAAATTCCTTTATAATATGAATTCAATTTTATAATGTAGAATGCATAACGACATTAATCTTCATTGACCAGGAAAGATTTTAAAATATAAACCGTTATCACTCTGACAAGATTTCTGAACTTAAATGTTATATTTTTAAAAAAGTGGCGCCTTAGTTAGCTTGTTTAGTTGAATTTACGAAAAAAAAGCGATTACGATTTGTTTAAAATTTATTTTGTTGTGATGAAAAATATAATGAAAAAAATTAAGAAAGTATTTTAGTACATTTTTCTGTTATTGTGAAATCAATTTCTGAACTTAAATAAAAAATATCAAATGGTAGAATTTTACATCACCATGTTGTTTTTTGTTCAATTTATAGAGTAAATGTGTAATATTTTTTTAGTTATTTTTTCCATTAATTTGAGAATGAAATCTATCACCTTGAGTTTTTTTATTAAAAAAGAAAATGCCATCCAATAAAGTGTTAATATTTTTTGAATAAAAGTTTAAAATATTTCAAATTGCAGTTTTAAAGCATAGAAATAATTCATTTCTTCCGTGATAATAACCTGCCGTACACTCATTCCAGGATATAAAGTTTTTCTTGTACAAAAAATGAAAATTATAGGGCTACTAGCAACAAACTTATCCCGTCATACCTCAAAAGCTTGACATATGACAAATTTGCTCTCATATTTTCATAATTTATTGTTTATTCCATTTGGAGAAATATTTTGCCAACATTTGAATTTATATTGTTCCTCTTTCTTTTTTTTAATTTGGTATTAGTACTTTTAATACTATTTGCGGTTTCTTTAATTATCGTTTAAATTAAATCTTTCCCATCCACATTTACGTCTTATTGCACACAATCCCTAATAATGATTTAATCGATTATTCATGAATGAGCTGCTAAGTAGGCATTCTCAGCAACATTAAGTTATACCATTTATGATCCTACCTATAGAAGTATGCTAATTATACACATGTATACGTATGTGTATGTCATCTTCTTAGTCCAATCTTTTTTGCCGATATAATTACAACGATTAGTCACAAACGTTTGCCACGTTCATTCCTAGCTGTTTACAGCTTACTTTGCTAAAGGATAAATTCACAACCGTCATTATTATAGTTTATACGTATGTATGGCACACATACACGCTCACATACAGTACAGTAGCCATATTTATAAATGACCAAGTTGTCGTTATTGTCGTAATCTGAATCATAACATAACGTAAACGTACGTAATTCGTAATTGTACTTACCAACAGGACTTTCTTCATTCCAAAATGAATCGTCCAGCGTGTAGTCGGCTTCTGCAAATAGAGAAAAGAAGTGGAAAACGAAACGAATGAGTACACCATTTAATGGGGACACATACAAGTGTTGGCACAAATAAAAAGAAAATGTGTGAAAATAAAACTATAAACAAAATTACTTGTATGCCATTTTCAACAACAATGGCTAGTCCCTGCTAGACCAGCGATTGGAGACCGACCAGTTCTACATTTAATATGTATTTCTCTATTATTACAACGTATTATTGTTGTTGTTGTTGCTGCTGTTGTTGGTTAGGAAAAACAACGAAACATAAACGGATTAAAATAAACGTTTTTTTAAAGGATTTCACATTTGGAAATTGTAGTCCGTGTTGTTGTCGTGAGAAAATCATTAAAAATGCATTTGCTCGTTAACGGGAAGCTGGTGGTTGTTGTTACCCAACGAACGGGGTAGCCTAAAAGTGCTAAAGCGATTATCACTTCATTTGCCAGCAGCATTCGCCAAACGATGGATAAATGCTGCCGACATCGGCGACATCACAAAATGAGCACAACTAATTAGCTAACCATTCGCATGGTCATTGTTTAATTTGTTCTCCCATTTAAAATGTTGTTGTTGTTGGCGTTGTTTTTTTTATTATTTTGTCGTTACCAAATGTTGGGTTCGGTGGTTTGGAGAAGAACTGCCAGCCACAAATGACAAAATGAATGGCTTAAACTGTTATCAATTACTTGTGTAGCTGGCTTAATTAATGATGTCGATTATTAGTCAATTTTGAAAATAGAAAATGTTCAAATGTAATCTGTTCAGGTGCACCTAATGAAGGTCGTAATTGTTGTCATGTTGCTGGCTAATAAGAAATTGTTAATTAATTAAACTGGATGCGTATACACAGGTGGAATTGGAATGGATTTGCCTTTAGATGTCAAGGTAGATAATTAAGAATATTTAATTGTTGGTATTGAAGATAACAACTCGTTTAGACGTTTCAGATAAGGATGGGGATTTCATACTCTCTATAAAAAATTGACGTAATTATGGCAAACTGAAGGCATAAGAATTTAATTCAAGTCAAAATGATGGTTCATTTTGATTTGCAGTTATTTGTTACAGAGTCGTGAAAGCTGAGAGTGAATTGATAAAACATTTATATAAATCGAAATGCAGTATTTGTAAAAATTCCAATACATTTCCAAAAGAAAACCAGCAAGGAAAGTAGTAAAGTCGGACGGGGCAGACTATATGATACCCTTCACCACTTTGGGTATGTTCTACATATGTATCCTAACAGACGAGGCTGGTTTCTTATATATCTATATCTGTACCGATTTCAGGGAAACTTGCAAGAGGCTAATTTATATTACTTCAGTAAGTTGTGTCAATCGGCCTAGCTATGGATCTTTTTACGAAGCTTAGCAACATCATTCTAGACTTAATTCAGTACCCTATACCAAAATTCGTGCAAATAGAAAGATATATAGGGACTTTGTTGCACCAATTACATTAAATCGGACGAAAATATATCTCAACCGATTTTCACGAAACTTAGCACACGCCATTCTAGCCTTAATTCAGTACGCTATGGCAAATTTCCTGCAAATCGAATGATTTTCAGACACTTTGGTGCACCAATTACCTAAACTCGGATGAAAATATATATGGGAGCTATATATAAATCTGAACCGATTTTCACGAAACTTTACACACAATATTCTAGTCTTAATTTAACACGCTATGCCAAAATTCATGTAAATGAAAAGGTTTCCAGGGACTTTGGTTCACCAATTACCTAAAATCGGGCGAAACTATATATGGGAGCTATATCTAAATCTGAACCGATTTTCACGAAACTTTGCACAGATCATTCAGTACGCAATTTAGTACGCTATGCCCAATTTCGTGCAAATCGAAAGATATATAGGGACTTTGGTACACAATTTACCTTAAATCGGACGAAGATATATATGGGAGCTATATCTAAAGCTGAACCGATTAAAACGAAACTTGGCAGTCATTCTAGACCTTATTCATTACGCTGTGCCAAATTTCGAAATCGAGAGATATTTAGGGACTTTGGTACACAATTTACCTTAAATCGAACGAAACTATATATGGGAGCTATATCTAAATTTGAACCGATTTTCAGAAACTTTGCACACATCATTCTAGAACTTATTCATTGCGCTGTGTCAAATTTCGTGCAAATCTAGAGATATATAGGGACTTTGGTAAACCATTTACCTTAAATCGGACGAAAATATATATGGGAGCTATATCTAAATTTGAACCGATTTTTCCCAATTTCAATGAGCTGTGCCAAATTTCATCCAATTCGAAGCAAAAATGCGACCTGTACTTTATTTACAATTTAACATCAACAGACGGACGGACGGACGGACGGACGGACGGACATACATAAATCGACTTAAAAAGTGATTCTATGCATATTCTCAAAAGGAACCACGTGTCTATCTCGTTTCCTTTACCCTGTACCACAGTGTGGTGAAGGGTATAAATTTTGAATTTCAAATATTGAAAAAACTTAAACAAATATTGACACTCACTTTAAATCGATTGCAATTTTGCAGTTAAAATCGACACAATATCGCAGTAAAAGCAGTACGACAGGTGAAATTGATCACCGACAATTTATTTTTTATTTTTTACAACTATATATAGATTTTATGCACCTATTCAGAAGAAAATATAAAAAACGAATTTGCCTAAATCGGATAAGATTATATATACTCTGATCAAGTATATATCGACGCCTCTGAACCATAGTATGCTAAGTCGACTTAGCATGTTTTAAAGTTCTTTACGTTTTTAGATACTACGGTCCTTAATTTAAATTCACTGACATTTTGGTAATCATCGGCCAATCCAAACCAAAGTTATAAGCAAAAATGTACTTAGCATGTCACGTACGATTAAAGACACTTCCATACTTTGAAAGCTTCTACTGAAAAACTCACTTTTCCGACTTAGCATACTATGGTTAGGAGGCGTCGATATGTTATGGGCCTATTAAATTTCGATAAGTTAAAAAGGGATGAATGGGGAAATACGAAACTAACATGCAATGTTGCATATGCCAGTTAATGGAAATTTCTCTGGATACTTTTTCAGAATAATCATAATATCCATATTTTTGTAATTTTTCACACAAAAATCTGTATACTATTGACACCCTATCTATATTAATCAAGGCTGATCAGCATCAAACCAGAAATACAACAAACAAGAAATATTTACCATATAACTTTATTTCTTATAGATACTTTGAAACACCAGGATGAATATGTCGAACAAAATATTGGAAGATTGATTCATAATTGCGACCTGTATTTCGATGTCAAGGACTTGATCGATGCAACTATACAAGATCGATCTACACACCTAAAAGTGGGTCACGAGGTGATATTTCGAAGTATTACCAATCCTTTTGATCACATAAACAATATATTTGAATATGATGTAAATACAAAAACGCACACCCACCACTAATAACATCTTCTAAAATTTCCGGAAAAACAAATCTAGTCATTCATTGTTTGCCCCATTTTTATTTGGCATTTTTATTTTTATTTCGCAAAAAAGCCACCCAGCCTCTCCAAAGCTTCAGTTCTCAATTCTAAGCAGTGGGTAAATGAGGACAATTTATTATCCTGTTGCCTTGCAGAATTGTGTCTTGGCAAACACAACCGTAACCGCAAACTAACTTTTTTTATACCAAAGTCATACCAAAAAAGGTTAACAACATTTTTGCCCTGTTAAATGTTTGTTTATTTGCCTGAATACCTTTAAAGAATGCCACCACATCCAACCATCCATATATCAAATCAAATTAGTAACCGCACAAAATATTTGATTTAATGGGTGTACACGCCTGAAGAGGCCGCAAGATGAATGGGCAAACCTGAAAAGACATTCTTGAGGAAACTTAAGAAACCGCAATGAATGAACGAACGAACGATGGAATGAATGATACCCACATACATAAAAACAACAACAGCAACAGCAGTCAAAAATCTCAACCACAAATTCATATACATAAATGGTTGCATATATATGTTTGTATGTGTATTACGCTTACCCAGTAGACATTTGCAAGGGTAGGTCATAAATCAGAAAGCAAGCAAATAAATTAACTTTGGCAATCTGTGGCATTTTTACCGAAAAAATATTAAATAATTTCGCAATTTATTTTCGTGAGTACATCTTATATAAACAAATGTTTAAGGAAAATAGTCAGTATTGATAAAAAAACATAATCTACAAACTCGTATTTTGTATTGTCCTAAGCGATTTCATCAGAAGAATATTTATCTTACTCTTATATGCATACAATGCACTCAAAACATTCTTTCTAGTACTTAGAAATATTCGTTGATAGTTTTTTGTCTGTACTGATGAGGTGTGATGTGATGCAAATTCGTTTGAGATTTGTGGTTTGACGCTGTGTTTAACCGCATTTAACAACTAATAGACTGAAATGGGTGATGACGCGGTCAACATTTGTATGCAAAAACGCACATTTGCCAACACTGACAGTGTGTGACGGTGCCGGCAAATGCAGCAACACAAACACGACAAAGGCGTCAACTACAGTCTGAATAACCAATGAAGTAAAGTTTTTTTTTTGTTCAGTTTCGCCACAAGAACAGATTCTCCTAAAGAATAACTAGTGCATGACATAGTGTGAAGTGATATGAGATCAGCAAGTCCCCCCAAACGGGGACATTCAGCCATTAATGTAGTAGAGCGTATACGACAAATGCCAACAACACAAAAGGCCAATATACAACCGAACGAATGAACGGTCGGAACGAACGACGGACCGACCAAACAACCAGCGAAACAAGATGTTTTCACACAACCTTCAAAATTCACTGTGAACCCAGGACACACTTGCATTTTGCCAAATCAGCAGTTGTACATGAGTGGTGTTAGCAAATGTTGTACCGAAATCACATGCACTTACACACACACAAATATATATATATGAATGCACACACTTTTACACTGGCTTAAC